GTTGAGGCTTGCGACCCTTCTTCTCTTTGTTTTTGCTCCAGCTGTTTTCCTTCGGCTTGGTCTTAGGTGATTCGATTTCGAATTTGCCGCTGGCGACCGAGGAGAGGAAATGCTCGTACAGAACTTTACAGTCCTTGGTATTGTGTTTCTTGCTCTTGTGATAGGAGCAATACTTTTCTGGCTCGTTGGGTTTAGGCCCCGAGGCTTCGGACGTGCCTTCCGGCTTTGGATCGTCATCTGTCCTGTCCCAGTGGTTTCATCCCTTTGCTCGGACTACCACCGTTGAGCCCGGGAGGTTATCCTCGTCGACCATGTAGACGAATCTCTTCTTAGGGTTTGCTTTGTCGGTTGGGGCATGCTGACGCGGTTCCGGACGGGTATCGTTGCTCTTTGAGGATGCTTGCTTCGTAGTGTTCTGTTTGCTGATGATTGCTTTTGTGTCTTCTTCCATGCGGATGAAGTTGTTGGATCAGGCAATGGCATCAGAGAGAGATTTGGTTGGGTGACGATAGAGGTCGTCTCGGAACATGGAGTGTACGTATAGCGTGTTCATCAGGGTGTTAACAGCGATACTATCCGGGACTTTGACCTTGGACACAATCCCTTTGAACTTTTCCATGAAGCTACGAAGACTCTGCCCTTGTGCATGGGAGAGGTTCCAAAGAGCTGACGCGGTAGCTTCCTCTCGTGTGAACATTATGTAGTTCTTTAGGAACACGGACGATAAGTCGCGAAAGCTGTCAACGGAGTTCTCCGGGAGGCCTGTAAACCAGGTTAGAGCCACGCCAGTGAGGCTCTCGACGAAGAGCTGACAGTAGCTGGCATCTCGTTTTTTGTCGGTAAAGTTGTGTCGCCGCATCGCGATGTTGAAGGAGGTGATGTGAGCCGTTAGGTCTGAGAGGCCGTCGTATGTCGGCAAACGGATCTTATCCATCTTGCGAAGTCTTACAGCGGTTATCTTCTGAGTAAATGGAGTTTGAAGGGTGTCCGCTAGGACGCTTTCGATGAGCGGGGCGGAGGTTGTGACGCCGTGTATCTTCGAGTTAATATCGAGGAGAGCTTGCTTAAGGGCAGCGATTTTCTGGATAATTTGTAGATCTGGGCTGTTACCCGGCTGCGTGGAATCGTCTTGAGGTCCAACCGGCATGATAGGTTGGTTCGCCGGAGTAGGTGTAGGGTTAGCGTTGAAGAGAAATCGCCGGGCCGTGGAAAGATGCCCTCCAGCTCCGTCAGGGTTTGAGAGTATGGTGGCTATGGCCCCGAGATGCTCGTTTGCCGTCTTCTTGGCTTCGTCTTGACGAGCTAGGCGCTCCATGACGGAGTCGATGAAAGTAGGAGCGAACGGTATGGCGGCGCCTGAGGTCGGTGCCGCGGCATCTTCTTCGTCGCCGGAGGTTGAAGCGTTACTTGGACTCATAACTTGTGTTGACGCTGCTTTGTTATGCCCCACGGTGGGCGCCAACTGTTTGAACCGAGTTCGGTCTGTTCAGTGAATGAGTGACATGACTCGTCGGTGGGTTATTTCAAAGGCGTTTGTTTACTATTTTGAGTCGAAGGTGTGTTTGTATTAAAGAGAGAGTTCAGTTTACAAATAGGGAAAAGAGAGGCGGAGCGGAGTCTCGCTGAGAGCTCGGCCGCGCCGTACAAGTCGGGAAAGAAACAAAGGAATCAAAACCCTAGTTCTAGCCGCCTTGAGCGTGAGTGTGTTTTCGGATCCCCTTCTCGTTAGCTCCTCTCTCCCTTTTATAGTGATTGCACCTTGACCTAGCAGACTCGTTTCGTCCCTCGCGGGCTTTCGCCAAGTGGGCTTTGGTCGGCCCGATAATCTAAGCACCTTGTCTAAGCATCCTTAACTCGGTTAACCACAGTGATTAGCCGAGCTAAGCTCAACTTACCGCTAATCGCTGGAGAGCTCTCCTGTTGGGCCTGAGTTCGTTTGGTCTGAGCTCGTTATCGTATGGGCTTGGTGAGGAAGTGCATTCCACCACCTACATTGCTTATCTAACCAACATAGGATCTCTATTCTCTTCTCATCTCTAGAATCGTTACCATCAGTTTTGAGGTCCAAGATAGGTCCCACTGCGTAGACAGGAGGAGTAGAGTTACTGTCGGAAAAGAACTTCAACGCTTGAGGTTCCATCTCTGCTACAGAATTTACAAGAATACCCTTTGTTTCTCTCAAAGTCCTAGCTCGACCCAAAACATAAGGAAACCATTCTTTGTTTAACATCACTGAAGGCAAACAGTTCGCCGGAAAAGGACGAGTCAAAGTGGGAACATCAAACTCCACGTCTGAGTCACTCAGATCACTGACGTCGAGTTTCTTCTGATCAAAAAGAGACTGGACGTGGAATTGTAGTCCGAGATACGAGGCGTTCGACGTGTAGAAGGTATACCTTGGGAGGTTGAACTCGTTGGCTATGTCTGTCATGGATGTGCAGAACATGTCCACGACAATCCCAGCGAGCTGCCGCTTCCGGGAGAGTTGGGACACGGCGGCTCTGATGTGTGGTTTATAGTTGTTGATGTAAGATATGAAGGTATGCTCGGTTGATTGGTCTCCGGCAGGGAGGAGGTGGTAGCTGAGGCGGTTTTTGGACTCCGGGTAGGAGGAAGAAGCATGGTTGGAGAATTGTGAAGGGATGACAACAAGAGTGATGGTATGCGGTTGTCGCTGTCTACAATAAGCTTTGCTATTGCCGTCGTTGATCTAAAATGGCCGATGCCAGGGGAAGGTATGGAACACGAGCTCGAGGAGCATCACGTCTACTTTGAGTTCTCCAAACGATAAGTTTTGTCACTTTTATCAAAGATTTGTGGTTTTCCTTTTTCAATCTGTATGGTATGATGCAGTGATGCTCCATTTGCTTATAGTTATAGCAATTATTAAATTTATCTTAAGTTACTTTTGTTTTATTAGTGAATCTATATATCTAAAATATTAAAACTGAACTACAAATTTGAAATATCCCTTAGTTTTACTAAATAATTAAATTCTTATGTCATTGGATTTATTTGTTATTTATTGAAATTCAAATTTCTTAATAAAACCATATTTCACTTACCTATTTATAAGGAACTAATCTTTATTAGAATTCTAATTATGAGAATTTTTCTTTTTTTATAGCGCAATTCTCATCGTCAACCTTTTAGTAAATACATATCTAAAAAATTAATTGCAACTAACCAAAGAAGTTAAGCAATTAAAACTAAAATTAATGTTTATTAATAACTTCAATATATATATATATATTCCTTACATTTATAAATATGTATAAATTTATAATAAAATAATCTATCTACTTAATTATTATTAAAAACTAAAAAATATATTCAACATAAATAATAGATTATTATAATAAAAGAATTAATATATAAACAAAAAATAAATGATAATTCACCTTTATTGTTATATATATACATTTAAATTTTAACCCATAACATATATATATATATGTATATATACAACCAAAACAATGATAATTTAAAACAATTAATAAAATTGATGCATATAGAATATAAAACTATATTAAATATATATTAAATCTTGTAAGCATAAAAATGTATACAATCAGTCATGTATGAAATTTTTTAACAATACATTTTTTTAAAACACCTGCACGGACGTGCATGTCAGAATCTAGTTTTAAAATTATTATATTAACGGTAAAATAGTTAACTAAATATTTCAGATATTTATTATTTTATTAATTTACAAATCATGGTATTAATAAATAGATTGTATTCAACTTTTGAATTTGAGATGATTTAAATTAAAATTATAAATCCACTATTATTAAACAAAAGTTAAGTTGGAGATTTATAGTGGTTTAATTATTTTCAGAGTGTTTGAGAGGAATTTCTTAGTTATAAAAATAAAAATAAAAATCTCATAGTTAGACGAGATTTTAGAATGTTTACAGAAAATCAACCAAAATTTCCAATTCTACTACAATCATCTAAAAATTCATTAAAATCAAATCACTTTAAATTTCAGATGCAAATATCCCTTAAATAATTTTAGCATGAGAAAAAAACGATTATATAAAAAACATCAAAGCTGGAATCAATGCCGGTTTTTACTCATGGCAACATGGGCATTTTCCATAGATTCATGGGTCTACAAATTTTTGTGTTGTTTTAAAGGTCTATTTCAATCTGTTAAATTATGAAAAGACTAATCATTAAAGAGCATGATTAATGGGGGTTTCTTAGGGTGGAATTCTTAGCGGAATATAAGAAATCGTTAACTTTTAATTTAAAAAACTAAGAACCGGTTCTTATTTGTCTTATTTAAGAATCAATTCTTAGTTTTTTAGTTAAAAGTTAAAAGACGATTTCTTATATTCCGTTAAAAACCCTATTCTAAGAACCTCCCATTAATCATGCTCTTAAGTAAACCTAACTTACTTATTAAAAGAAAAAACAATAAGATATCTGTACTTTTACATTATAAAATAAAGCTAGAAAAAACTAGTTTAATGTGATTGTCTTTTTATCTTTTAATGAATTGATACTTTTATTAGTTTCAAGTCTTAGAACTCATGTTAAAAGAAATACAGTGAAAAAAATATAGAGAATCTTTATAAAATGGTTCATACTCATGTTTAGCTGAGGATTATTATATTTGTTAAGACGGCACTGGCTCGAACATATCTTTTAATTTGTCTTGAGGACTTCTGTTTAACTAAGGAACCTATCTTTTAAGTTATTGAATTAGTGGTAAAAATAAATATTTAAATATTGAAAACTATAAAATAATAGTATTGGTAAATAGAGCCGGAGAAAATTCAATTATGGGAAAAAATCATTAAATCTAGAAAGAATAATCATCAAAGTTAAAGAACAATAATTGTAATTACTCCAAGCCATTTAACAGGCTGTTTTGTTAGATGTATAGGCCTAAGCACTTCGGCCTATACACAGTAAGGCCCATATATGGTAATTCAATAGGAATTATAGATTTATGGTCGTATCTCCAGATCCGTCTGTTCCGACAAGTTGATCTTCTTCATCGCCGTCGCTCGGTCGGCTTCGGTTTGTCGGAAAATTATTTTCAGAATATTCGTTTTCGATTTATCAAGGTAAGATGTATACTCTACTTACATCCCTTTTGTTGTCTGCACGATATGAATCCGAGTTCTGCGTCGATGATGTTGTCTCTCTCCGTTGATATTTATCATAACTTGTTCGACGAAATGTCTTCACTTGTTTGTGACCCATTGAACTTCTTGAAAATGTTTCCTTACATTACTGATTCATTGTCCTTCTGTCTAGATGGCGAATTGGAGACACAAAGTGTTTCGACATTTGGGCTCGTTACAGGGAGCTAGCTACTCAACTAAGCCTTCAAGAATTAACAAAACAATGCTCAATGACCTTAGAAGAATCAGACCAATGATCCAGAGAAGAATAGAAAATCGAGCAAAAGATTATCCGGTTCAAGAGATTGTTCCTGTGGCTCAAGAGATCCTTAAAGCCAGACGAAACCTACTCACTAACGTCACCGTGCTTCTTAAACTGTTTCCTGTCTTGAGATGCAAGTAAGTCTTTCTTCGGCTATGTTGAATCAAGAACTCTGTTTTGATAAAAAAGACTTAAAACTTTCAGGTTCTGCTCGGAAGTGTTTGTTGGCAAAGAAGGACATTTGATTCAAACGTGCCGTAGTTATATACGGCGTGGCAACAACAGGCTACACGAATGGGTTCCAGGTTCCATAAACGATGTACTTGTCCCCGTTGAGTCCTTCCACTTACACAACATGTCTCAAGGTGTTATCAGACACCAACAGAGGTTTGATTATAACCGTGTTCCCGCCATCTTGGAGCTATGTTGTCAAGCAGGAGCCATCCATCCCGAAGAAATCTTGGAATATGCGAAAGTTCACGATAACCCGCAAATCTCTGATGAAGATGTCAGGAGTATATCCACTGAAGATCTCAAATACGTTGGAGCAAACGCTCTAACGGCGTGGGAGAAAGTGAGAGCTGGTCTGAAGAAACTATTGCTTGTTTATCCTTCGAAGGTCTGCAAACGGTGCAAAGAGGTGCACGTGGGACCGAGCGGTCATAAAGCTCGTCTCTGTGGTGTGTTCAAATACGAGAGCTACCAAGGGACTCATTACTGGGAAAAAGCTGGTGTGAACGATTTGGTACCTGAGAAAGTTGTGTGGCACAGGAGGCCTCAGGACCCGGTGGTTCTTGTGAATGAAGGGAGGAATTATTACGGACATGCCCCTGCTATCGTGAGCCTTTGTAGCCATGCTGGTGCACTTGTTAGCAACACTAGATATGCTTGCGAGATGAAGCCCCAAGGTTTATCTTATCCTCTTAGTTATTGAAATCCAAATCATGAAACGTAGAGAATAGTCTTGTGTGTGTTTTAGCAGGAACCAGTTGGTTCTCGTCCGGTTTTCTGATTGGTTTTGGTTTTATCTTAGAACCATATGAAGCCAAACTAAATCCAGTCTTCAATACGTTGCATGTCTATTGAATATTTGATATCCTGTAGTCTGTAGTAGTATCGCCTCGTTTTAACCTCACTTGATATATTTGGCGTGTCGATGCCTTTGTCTAAGCATTGTTTCTTTATTCGTGACAGTTTTTCTTGACTCTTATGTAAACTTAAACGACATTATTATTGACAAATTGCATTTATTCATAAGAAACCACAAGAATATTCTTCAAACTTAAGGAGTAAGAAATTAACCTCACTATTCTAGGATCAACTTTATATCTCCACATTACTGTTGTATTCTTTCTATCCTACAAACACTAAAACAAAGCCAAACAAGGAAATTTTTACTTCTTTGTTTATTTCAGGGTCTCAAGAAAAAAAAAGGAAATGTGTTCTCAAGGATGTTAAGAGACCAATCTATGTGTAGTGGCTGTAGCGTTAATTCGATATCCGAAACTGTTTCGTGTACACATTTGATAACTACGGTGTTTGTTCTTCGATGGTTTCCAACAACTTTCACCAATACATGAAAGTGAATAGAAAATGACAAAACCAGTAATAAAGAAAAAATATTACAAGCCAAAGTAACTTAACAAATTAATATCCAGTCTCTATTGTTGCATAAAATATGAATACATTGACAGTCTCAAGAAATATTTTCGATCACATCTTGAACAAACTTCCGCATAGCATGCGTCGAAGATCCACCATCCATTAGCGCCATGTGGAACTTCTCTCTCATCTCTTCCACCCTCTTCCTCATCTAACCATCCTGCTCCATCACGCAGTTGTTCCCTCACTCAATCTCCTCAGCCGTCACCATCTCAGACTTATTGAGCTACAACGCCCAAATGGACTTCAAATCTACACGAATCCAAGAAACATGAAGATGGATAAAGTTAAGAAGCCCATTTCTGATGCACAGAACACTGCAACGGTGAAGAGCTTCACCAAAAGAGATAAGTATACGGAAAGCTCATCACACTTACAACTCTGCAATAGGTTTGGAACGCTTAAGGATAACGTTGAATGAACTGTCAAACTGACCACCTGTTAGTGAATCTAGACGCTTCTTATCTATGTATAAATAAGAGACGAAAGCTTTGTAAAAACATTAAGTTATCAAAGTATAATTTCAAAATATATCAGATCTCTGTCTTTACATTTATGGTATCAGAGCACCATGGACTAGATCATGTGGCTCAATCATGGATGGAAATCAAAATGTGCCTCTTACAGCTCTCACAATCACTCAAGTCGTTACTTTGAAGCTCAAGGAAAGAAACTACCTTCTATGGAAGCTTCAGTTTGAGCAGTTCATGTCTCGTCAGATGATGCTTGGCTACATCACCGGTGAACAAACAAGACCACCTGAGACAACAACTGTTCGTGACGGCGACCAAGATACTAAAAACAGCAAACCCAGATTTTCTGAAGTGGATGCAAAAAGATCAGCTAATTGTCGCCTGGATCTATGGATCTCTCACTGAAGACGCTCTCAAATCAGTTTACGGCCTTCATTCGTCTTGTGAGGTATGGTTAGCCCTAGCTAAGAAGTACAATAAAGTTTCAGCTACTAGGAGGTTAGATTTACAGAGAAAAGTTCAAACCACGGTTAAAGGAACAAAAACTATGACTGCTTATCTCTCTGAAATCAAATCTCTTTGTGATCAACTAGACTCTATTAAGGCACCTATCACTGAACATTAGAAGATCTACGATGTGCTTAATGGCTTAAGCAAAAAGTATGAGTCTGTTTGTGCAGTGATAGAACATGCTATGGATACATATCCTGCTCCTTGCTTCAAAGATATTGTGTATAAGCTGACTGGTTTTGAAGATAAGCTGCAATCCTATCAACCAGCTGCTGAGATCTCTCCTCACCAAGCTTTCTACACGAATCGTGGTGGCTATTCAAGTCGTGGTAGAGGAGGATACAGAGGAGGTTACAGAGGAGGATACCGTGGTCGTGGAGCATATACCACTCAAGGAAGTGGCTTCCCTCAACATTTTGGTCAGAGTGCTCATTGACCTCCTTCTTCTACAGAAAATCGTCCTACTTCTCAGATTTGTGGAAAGTATGGTCATCTTGCATATAAATGCTACAAGCGTTTAGATCAACACTATGCAATAGACGATTATCATCCTCAAGCAAATGCTCTTACCACAACTCAACAACCTGGAGCAGAGTGGTATCCGGACAGTGGGCCATCTCATCATTTTACGAACTCGGTATCAACATCTGGATCAAGCTCAAACATATGAAGAAAATGACCAGGTTATTGTCGGCAATGGTGATTATCTTCCTATTACACATGTCGGATCTGCCTCCATTCCCACGTCCTCAGGTAACATACCACTCCTTGGTGTACTTGTATGTCCTGAAATAACTAAGTCACTGCTATCAGTTTTTAAGCTTACAAATGATTATCCATGCTCTTTTACCTTTGACTCAACGTCTGTTTGTGTTATGGATAAGGCCACCAACAAGGTTCTCAGTCAGGGAACCAAAGCTAAAAGACTTTAAAGCCTGGATAATCCTCAGTTCATGTCACTCTACTCCTTCAAACAATAGAGTTCAAGTGAAGCAGTATGGCACAAAAGGCTGGGGCATCCTAATGATCAAGTTCTACAACATCTATCCTCAATAAAAGGCATTCAAATAAACAAGAAGTCGAAGTCCCTCTGTGAAGCATGTCAACTTGGCATGACATGTAAACTTCTTTTTACCAGTTCAGATTTCAGAGCTAGTAGAATTCTTGAGAGAGTTGTGATGTCTGGGGTCCAGTACCTGTTGTTTCAGTTCAAGGTTTCAGATACTATGTTGTATTCATTGACAATTATTCAAGATTCTGCTGTTTTTTTCACATGAAATTGAATTCTGATGTGTTTTCTATCTTCAAAGTTTTTTAACAACAAGTAGAAAACCAGTATCAACAGAAAATTTCCATCTTTCAGTCAGATGGTGGAGGAGAGTTCGTCAATCAAACTCTATCTCTGCATTTTGCTCACTGTGGGATTAAACATATAATGTCATGTCCTCACACTACAGAGCAAAACGGTATAGCTGAAAGACGCCACAGACACATTACAGAATTGGGACTGTCGAAGTTATTTCAAAGTCATCTGCCTGCAGAGTTATGGGTTAAAGCCTTCTTTACAGCTGCGTTTCTTAGTAATCTTATTCCTACGACTGACAATGAAAACAAGAGCAGTCCTTTTGAGTTACTAAATGGAAAGGCACCTATCTACACGGCTCTCAGAGTGTTTGGCAGAACATGTTATCCATACCTACGGCCTTACTCTCAGAATAAGTTTGATCCAAAATCTTTGCTCTGTGTTTTTCTGGGATACAATGAAAAATACAAGGCTATAGATGATATCATCCACCTACTGGGAGAGTCTACATCAACAGACATGTTTTTTTATGAAGATAGGTTACCGTATACTGACACCTATAAACACTTAGTGTCAGATGCAAAGTCACCACTAACTTTGGCATGGCGTCTGCAATACAAAGCAACAGAAGTCCCTCAACCAGCAAACACTACCAGTGAACATGAAGATGGATATCCTCTTCTCAGACGTGTTCAACATCAGCAACAAATACCACCTGTGGAGTCAAGTGTCTCTGGTTCAAGTTCCGAGTCTGATAATAATGATCAGGTAACTCCACCTCCTTCTCCTGGAGTCAATAATCACCAACATGCACAGATTCCAGCAGAAACAGACAATGCTCACAAGATGGTTACAAGAGCAAAAGCTGGCATTATGAAACCTAATCCAAGATACGCCTTGATGACTGTAAAAGGCATTCCAGAACTTCCAAAGACAGTAAAGAAGCCTTGAATCATTCGGGATGGAACAGTGCAATGAGAGAAGAAATGGAAAATTGTGCTGAAACTAAAACATGGAGCTTGGTTCTGGCTCCTGCAGATGCTCACATACTTGGTTGCAGATGGGTTCATCGTGTGAAACTGAATGCATACGGGACATTCTTAAAGTATAGGTCAAGAATTGTTGCTAAAGGCAATGAACAAGAAGAAGGAATAAACTTTCTTTAAACCTATAGCCTTGTGGTATGAACTGCAACGGTTAGAATGATTCTGCATATTGCTGTGGTTGAAAGATGGGACATCAAGCAACTAGATGTAAAGAATGATTTTCTGCACAAGGATCTCAATGAGATAGTTTACATGAGGTAGTCTCCTGGTTTTGAAAGCAAGGAGCATCCTAATTACGTCTACAAACTGAATAAAGCAATTTACGGGCTTAAACAGGATCCTAGAGCTTGGTTTGATAAGTTCAGCTCCTTTTTGATTAAGTTTGGCTTTGTCTGCAACACTGGTGATCCTTCACTCTTTGTTCTTCATCGAGGCAAGAGTACTATCTTTCTTCTTCTTTATGTGGACGATATGATTCTCACAGGGAATGATCAACCTCTTATCCAGCAGCTACTGATGTGTTTGAATAAAGAGTTCAAGATGAAGGATATGGGATCTCTCAGTTATTTTCTCGGTTTCCAAGCACAATTGACACCAACTGGCCTGTTCCTAAATCAAGAAAAATATGCCAACTCCTCTTCCTCTGCAACTGGATAGAGTACCACATCAGGATCAGTATTTTGAGAATCCTACATATTTTTGAAGTTTGGCAGGCAAGCTTCATTATCTCACACTAACAAAACCGGATGTGCAGTTTGCTGTAAATCTCGTATGCCAAAAGATGCACAAGCCAACTGTCTCCGACTTTCATCTTCTCGTAAGAGTGTTGAGATATATTAAAGGTATACTGCAGATGGTTCTGATGCTGGAATCTGATACTAACTTTCAGATTAGAGCTTATTGCGACAGTGACTGAGCTGGTTGTCAAGAAACTAGAAGATCAACTGGTGGGTTTTGTACATTTCTTGGATCCAACTTGATTTCTTGGTCTGCAAAAAGACAGGATTCTGTGGCAAGATTGTCTACTGAAGCTGAGTATAGCACGCTTTCTGATACAGCAGCTGAGCTAGAATGGATAAGTCTGATGATGAAGAGTGTCCACCTCTCACAATCTGCACCAGCTGAAATATACTGCGACAATCTTTCTGCAGTTCATTTGACTGCTAATCATGTCCTTCACCGCAAGTCTAAGCACTTTCCAACACATTATAACTTTGATAGAGAGAAAGTGGCCAATGGATCTCTAATTGTCAAGCAC